CACGCGGGCAGCGCGGGCGCCTTCGCCTGCTGGCCGGTCTTCCTCTGCGCCTGGCCGTTCTCTCCGGGCTTCCCTGGAAGGCAGGTGGGGGGGCAGGGCCGTTGGCGTGGGGATCCGCCCCTCCCGGAAGGCAGCAGCATCCTGGCTGGGAGGGACCGGCCCGCAGGACAGCCTGGAGGAGCGGCCAGGCGGCCAGGCGTGTCCACAGCACACTGGGCGCGCACTGCCGCAGGGGGCACCCCCGGCAGAACGCGTTTCTACTGGGCCCTGAAGCCCCAGGCCTTGGTGAGCCCAGGTGTGGTGGGCACCTGCTGCCCACCTTCCCCACCCTCAGACTGCCCGCCGCTGGTGCCACTTTTCTCTAGAGGCCCTTCTGCGCTCCCACAGGTCCACCGTGCTCCCCAGGCGTGGCAGCTGGCTACCTTCCCTGAAGCCTCCAGGGCAGAGGCTGAGCAGGAGGGGCTCCCCTGGCAGGGCTGGGCCGGGTGAACCGGTGCGGCCAGTGTGGCAGAGCTGGCTGGCACAGGCGGGCGTGGGGGTGAGTAAGCGGCCCCAGGCGGGGAAACGCCGGGGTGCAGGCCTCTGACGCCTCCCTCAACAGGAAGCCCAAGACGCCAACACTCAGGCTGGCCCTGCATACCACCCCCCCACACCACCCCCTCCAAAGGCTGGCTGGTGGGGCTTCTCAGGCCTCCATTTTCGTGGGCAGGGCAGTGGACCCCCTACCAGGACACCCTCCAGAGCCTCTGGGCACCCCTGGGCAGGCCGGCCTTGCTGCCCCATTGCGGTCCACAAGACGGAGCCTTTCGAGGCCCTGTCTCTCCCGCCAGCCCATAGGGCAGCCCACCCCCAGGAGAGTCCCCCATGCTGGCCAGCAGTCTGTCACCTTCACAGAGCGCCCCAGGCAAGCTGGGGCTCTGGGGGGCTCCTCTAAGCTTGCTGGCTGGGGGGCTGGTCAGGCACTTGGGTGGGGGTTGTCTGTGGCCACGAGGGTCCTGTCAGGATGGTCAATGTGGCTGGGGCTGTCGCTCCCAGCCCTGTGGGCTGGAGTCTGGGCTCCAGAGACCAGGGGTGGGACAGGCGGGGGGCACCGGTGCCGCCCAGGGCAGGCTGGGACTCGCCGGCACAGCACACAGCCGGCGGCCTGCCTGCCGACTCGCCGCCTCCGGTTTCTCTCAGTCTCCCTCCCAGTGTGGCCGGCGAGGCCTGCGGCCCGGAGAGCCCTGTACCCTGTGTCAGCACGTTAGTCAGCCGTGGTGCAGGGCGAGCCACCGCACGGCGAGTCCCTATAAACGCCGCGGCGCAGCCCAGCCCGCCGAGTGGGGCCCGTGAGGCCCACAGGCAGAGCCAGGGCGCAGTCGGCACCGGCCACGGGGCAGGGCGGGCTCGAGGGGCCGCCACAGCAGACGGCCCCCTGTGGCCTCTGGAGACGCTCGCAAGGCCTGTCCGGTGGAGGCCAGGCCGCCGATGAGCCAGGGCCCCCGGGGAGCCGACCGGGGCCATGTCTGGGAAACGGAGTCGAGCTCGAAAACCCCGAGCCAGGAGGGCGGGCAGGGTGCAGCGGGCCTCAGGGCAGAAGGGCCCTGAGGCCAAGGCCGAGCCCCCGCCCCTGGACGCAGGGGGCCCTCGGGATGAGGTGGGGGTGGCCCCCAAAGGGCACGTGACCAGCGGCCAGCCAGCTCCCCAGGGACACCCCAGGGTGGCCAGGCCAGAGCAGCCACAGGCAGCAGAGAGGCCGGTACAGGCCACTTCCCTGGGGTCTGAGCTGGTGCTAGTCCCCACTGCGGACATGGAAGGCAGCGGGCCGGGGGGCCTCATGCCAAGCTTGGGCCCCGAGCTGCTGAGGCTCCATGAGGTCCAGCTGTGCCTGACCCAGGAGCAGCTGCTGCTAGAGGACCGGCGGCGGCAGATCCAGCTGCAGATGCAGCTGTGGCAGGAGGAGCAGCTGTGGCGGGAGCAGCTGTGGCAGGAGGAGCAGCTGTGGCTGCAGCAGCTGCAGGAGGAGCAGGCCTGGGTGCGCGTGGAGGGGCTGGAGCTGGCCACTGCCCTGGAGCGACTCCGGAGTGAGGGCCTTGAGGTGCTGCAGACCCAAGGCCAGGTAAGGCCTGGGGACATGGGGTGGGGGGCGGGCCTGACAGTCTGGGGGGTGGTGACCAGGAGAGCAACCTCCAGGCACCTGCAGAGGGCCAGGAGGCCAGGAGCGCAGCGGCCTGTGTACTGAGGCCAGGCTGGACGCGGGACACCTGTGGGTCCATTTTCACATTTGCAAAATGAGGCTGGTGCTCACTGCAGAGGGCACTGCAAAGACCATGCGACCATGACCACACGTCCTCTCAAGCCAGTGCCTGGCACGTAGAGAGTGCCCAGGCAGGGCTGCTCCCACAGAGGTCCCAGGCGTCCTGGCCAGGCGGGCCGGGGCAGGCAGTGGCGGGAGTTGCTGAGGGCAGCGTTCGGGGCGGACGGGCAGCAGGCAGCAGGCAGCAGGATGAGGAGCGAGCCCCCAGCACGGCTCCCTGGCGCACCTGCCCTGCCTCCTGTTTCCTGTAGCCTGTCCCAGGGCTGGAGGCGGAAGCGGCACGCGGCGCCCGTGCCAGCGTCCTCATTCCAGGAGGACTACTGCATCAGACGCGCTGGGGCTATTTTGGGGAACTGGGGTCTAACTCTGGCTTGGCCTGAAGAGCAGCCCCCCCCGCACCAGGTCCTGTGGCCTAGGTGCTCTCTGGGGTCCAGGGGCTTGAGCTGTCCACTCCAAGCAGAGGGGCTGCCACTGAGGAACAGGGTGGGGTGTTCTCTTAGCAAGCACAGACCCCAGTGCAGCCTAGGTGCTGCGGGGGGCCCGGAGCCACAGCCCGGAAGGCAGCTTAGCAGAGAACTCCAATGAGTGATGTGACAGAGAAGAAATGGGACTCAAAGGGGAGTGACAAGGGGTGGGCATGGCAAGAGGTGCCCTTCCTGACCCATGGCAGGACTGAGCCAAGGACAAGCTGTCACCATTTGGCCTGGAAATAGCTCTGGAGAACATAGCCTAAGAGAGCAGGGGCAGGCAGGGAAAAGCACGGGATGCCCAGGTGGAGCGAAGGGTCAGAGTGGACCACATCCCTAGCCTGAGAATCCCCAGCGTGGATTTAAGCCCCGCTTTATTTCAGACCCTGCTTTCCATCTCCATGTGCTCTAAAGCTGTGCTCCTCTGAACACTGCCCCTGGGCCCCAGCCCCAGCCCCAGGGGTACAAGACTCGGGGATGGGGTCTGGAGTGGATATCTGAGCTCTGAGTCCTCAGTCTGCCATACCCAAGTCCAACTCAGAGGAGGTGAGGGTCTTCTCAGAGGGGGTGTCCCGGGCAGCTGCATAGAGGGTTTCACAGGTTGGAATGGGGGTGCCCTGAGGGCTGGAGGGCGCACTCACTCACCAGCAGCTGCTCTGGGCTTGGCTTTGCGGAGGGATGCCTGCCACTTCGCTGAGGGTGCTTTGGGGACCCCCTTCTTACTGCTCATTCTCCTGGAGGGAGGATAAGGAAGGTCAGGGAGGGTGTGGCCGGAGAGGCTGCCCCCTGCGTTGGGCCTGATGGACAGTCAGCTGGTGCCAAAAGGAACAGGATCACAGGCACCGAACCTGGCCCTGTCTGCCCCTGGTCATTGGCGTACATGCCCAGCAGCTCGAGTGGGAAGGCTTGGCATGGGATGTGGCCACAGCCTGTTCCCCTCATCCTCACCTACCGGCCCCTCCACCTCAGCTCACCCATCCTCTGGTCCCAGGCCCTGGCCGCCACCCCCAGAGCACGGTTGGGTACCCATCTCCCTGCTCCGACCGCTGGGTGCCAGCCGGACGAGCTCCGTCCTACTGCACAAACTGGAGCCCAGCCCCACAACGCTGTAGCCCCGTGCCTCCCCGTGCCCCCACCCACCCAGGGCACAGAACACTGCTCTGCACCCCGGTCCTCCGTGTCCTGGCCTTTGCAGGTGTTGCCAGGGCCTGGAAGCCACACCCCTCTCCCTGGCCCACTGAGCTGATCCGCAAATTCATGTCCCTGGGAGGCCTCCCCTCCTGCCCCGTGAACCCACTGCAGGGCCGTCGCCTGGTCTCCCCCCGCACCGGGTCCCACCACGTCGACACTGGCGGAGTGTTGCTGAGTGTTTGGGGAAGGGAACTAAGCAGACAGTTGGTGGGGAGAGGGATGGGGAGGAAAGTGATTGCCAGCAGAGGGAACGGGCTTGTGGGTTTGGGGCGAGGGGCTCTAAGGGAGGGTCTGATAGCTGGCGTTCTGAGCAGGGGTCTGAAGTGTTTGGGGGTACCCTGGGGGCTGAGGGCCTCCATCTGTGCGTGAAGGGAGCCTTTCGTTCGTGGGGCTCCCCTGTTTGTGTGGGGTCAGCGCTTGCAGGGTGCCGGATGCGTGGGGGTCATTCGGCGAGCACGCAGGGTCCTGTAGGAGCGCGGGCTTCTGCGGTACAGGGCCGGTGCCTGCAGTTGGTCTGTGTGAGGAGACCAGTGACTGTCGGGTCCCCCATTTGTGTGTGGAGTCCCATATGCATGTGAGGTCTATGTGTGTGGATGTTGGGGTGTGCCTACGTGATGGGCACTTGTGGTACTTGGAGTGCATTAGGGTTCCGTATGGGTGCGGGAGTGTGTCCGTGTGTTAAGGGGTCCCTGTTGAGTCCCCTGTCCTTGTAGGGGTGGATGTGTTCCGAGGTCCCCGTGCCTGCAGGATCTTGTACACGTGCAGGCGTGAGTATGCCTGTGGGGTCCCGCGTACGTGGAGGGGGTTCAGCGTGGGGAGACTGGCGTGGGCGTGGGGTCCATCCGTGTGGGAGGGTCCCCTGTGCGCGTGGTTCTACTATACGTGCGGGCGTCGGTGCGGGGATCTGTGCGAGCTGGATTCCTTGAGGGCACCCGCATGTGCGGGGAGGGAAGGTGCTCTGTGCGGATGCCGCAGTGGGGGGGTCCCGGCGTGGTGATGGGGTCCCCTGTGCGCACAGAGGCCCCAGGCCCGGCCCCGCCGCGGGCTCCGCGCCGGCTCCCGCGGCCTCACCTGCCTCACCTGGCTCCGCACACTCCGGAGCGAGACCAGGAGCCCCGCCCCTCGCGTCTGGCTGGCCCGTTTCCTAGCGACGGAGCCGGAACTTCCAAGTCACCTTCCGGGGCGAGGGTCAAGGGTCAGGCATAGGGACATCGAGGCTTTGGCGAACAGATGGGCGCCCGGGTACACCCCGCCCTGGCGGCCTCCGGGGGTGCCGGGCCGCTGCGGGGCTCGGCAGGA